TCTTCCTGGGAGCTGGTGATACCTTTCCTGTTATCATTTCGTCTAAACTTGATGCATTTCAAGAGCAGCGGTTACTTGACATGTTGCGTGAACATAAATCGGCATTAGGTTGGACGATTGCTGACATTAAGGGTATTAGCCCCTTAATTTGCTCCCATCACATTAACTTGGAAGACGGGGTTAATCCACGAAGGGATCCCCAAAGGAGACTGAACCCGACAATAAAAGAGGTCGTGAAGAATGAAGTCTTGAAGCTTCTGGATGCATGAATCATCTATCTAGTCATTGATAGCAAGTGGATCAGTCCAACTCAGGTAGTGCCTAAGAAATCTGGGGTGACAGTGGTGGAAAATGAGAAATGGGCTCTTGTTCCCACAAGGACTATGATGGGTTGGCGCATGTGTATTGACTATCAAAAACTGAACGCCGCCACCCGCAAGGATCACTTCCCAATTCCATTCATTGACCAAATCCTAGAACGTGTGGCTGGTCATCCTTACTATTGCTTTCTTAATGGCTACTCAGGCTACTATCAGATTGAGATCGCATTAGAGGATCAGGATAAAACTACATTTACCTGTCCTTTTGGTACTTATGCTTTTCGGCGTATGCCATTTAGATTGTGTAATGCACCAGCCACCTCCCAGAGGTGCATGATGAGCATTTTTAGCGACATGGTCGAGAAGTGTATGGAAGTATTCATGGATAATTTGACCATTTTTGGTGACTCCTTCGACAATTGCCTTCATAATTTGTAGGTTGTGCTTAAGAGATGTGAAGAGAAGGGTCTCATGCTTAACTGGGAGAAGTGTCATTTCATGGTGCCATCTGGCATAGTCTCGGGGCATGTTGTTTCTGAAAGAGGGATTGAGGTTGATCAGTCTAAAATTGAACTTATCTCAAAGTTGCCCACCCCCAAGACTGTCAAAGACATTCGGTCTTTTCTGGGGCATGCTGGTTTTTACAGGAGGTTCATACAAAACTTTTCAGCAATTTCTCGTCCGCTTTGTAACCTCCTGGCCAAAGACGCCATGTTCGATTGGACACAAAAGTGTGAGGATTCTTTCCAAACGCTTGTGGTGAAGTTGACTTCTGCCCCCATCATTCAGTCACCAGATTAGAGCTTACCATTTGAGATCATGTGTGACGTAAGTGATTATGCTGTGGGGGCCGTCCTTGGTCAACGAAGGGAAGGGAAGCCCTTTGTTGTGTATTATGCGAGTAGAACTCTAAATAGTGCTCAAATGAATTACTCCACCATTGAGAAAGAGTTGCTCGCTGTGGTCTTTGCACTTGACATGTTCCATGCATATCTGATCGGTTCACCCATCACCGTCTTTACAGATCATGTCGCCCTCAAGTATCTCCTTTCCAAGAAGGATGCTAAGGTGCGATTAATTAGGTGGATCCTTCTATTGCAGGAATTTGACTTGACCATCAAGGACAAGAAAGGTGTTGAGAATGTCGTTACCGACCATCTGTCTCGACTCGAGTTCAATGATCTCGCCGATGGCCCTGCCATCCGCGATAACTTCCCCGATGAAAATCTTTTCCCCGTCACTAAGCTGCCTTGGTACGCTCATATCGTAAACTACTTGGTGACGGGCGAACTTCCTTCTGATTGGAATGCACAAGATAAACACAAGTTCTTGGTCGAAGTGCAAAACTTCTATTGGGATGATCCATATCTTTTCAAGTACTGTCCCGACCAAATCATGAGACAATGCATTCCTGATGATGAGATTACTAATGTTCTGAACTTCTACCATAACGATGCATGTGGTGGTCATTTTTTTGTGAAAAAAACTGCCGCAAAAATCTTACAGTGTGGTCTTTATTGGCCTACTTTGTTCAAGGACACTAATCAATTCTGTCGTTCCTGTGTCCCGTGCCAGAATTAGGTGCTTTGTCCCGCCACCATATGATGCCTTCGAACCCGATTCTCGTGATAGAAATATTCGATTATTGGGGGATCGACTTTATGGGACCATTTTCGCCTTCTTCTGGGTACCTTTACATCCTCCTCGCTGTGGATTATGTTTCTAAATGGGTTAAAGCCGTGCCGTGTCGAACCAATGATAATGCAACAGTTGTTAAGTTCTTGAAGGAAAATGTGTTATCTAGGTTTGGCACTCCACGTGCTATCATCAGTGATCAAGGCACTCATTTCTATAACCGTTCATTTGAGGCTCTTATGCGCAAGTACGGTGTGCTTCACAAGGTTGCTACTGCCTATCATCCACAAATGAATGGCTAAGCTGAGTTGGCGAATAGGGAGATCAAACAAATTTTGGAAAAAACGGTAAACCCCGACCGCAAGGATTGGTCCTTACGTCTTCT